CCCCCCCTCCCCGCCCACCACCCTACACGCGTCGCACGTACGGCGGGGACGTGATGGGGCTCACCCCCGCGATTTCTCATACGCGATAGCGAGAGAGTGGAAAATGGAGGTTTACCGAAATGACCTTCGTGTGCTCCACACTTCCTTATTTCTCGGCGCCGCCGCCCGGCGAGCGGGTCACGTGGCCACTGCTTTACGGTCGCCCCCGCCGGATGTCCCGGAGGTATAGCGAGGGGGTGGTGGCGGTCGGTGGTGGGGAGTCAAGTCAGCACGTTGGCGCGAAGAAAATGCACGAGAGGCGAAGGGAAAGGCGCCTCGCCCCGCCGGAGGCCCTCCTTGGCCTCCCCCAGGTTAAGTGGACCCTCCCCGGCCAACTTTACCGAGCCGGCCTCGTCCATCCAGGGAATCACCTGATTAACCCAGCCACGTAGGAAGGGAGGGAGAGAGCGGGCGATCGCGCTCGGAGAGAGGGGGAGGGGAGAGAGAGAGGTGGATAATATGGTGGGGAGAGAGATGGTGAAGCCGACTACTTGCAACTACTTGGCGCTAACGTGTTGCAGTGTAGCCAAACGGCACGCCACTACTGAAGCGGGCGTGCAGTGGCACATGACTTCTCACACATGACTCGGTGGTGCGCGGGGTGGTATGCGGGTGCGTGACAAATCCTGTAATTCCCGGTATCAGAATATCATCGTTAAATGCGCGCATTCCAGGCTGTCTAGAACGGAAGTGAAAAAGAACAAAATCCACCGGTTTATCGGTTTCCGCCGAGCTGGTATGAGAAATTTTCATGGAGGTTTTAAAATTTTATCACCTGTCAAACTCACACACACGCACCTTCCCTCTTCCCGTGCCACCTTTGCGCTCACGGCAAGAAGGTCGTACCGGTCGTACTACTCATCTTCTTGCACCGGAGTACGAATGGCGCTCAAGGTGCTGGAGCCGTATTTGGTATTTGCTGCTCTTGCCATCAAAGGTATAGCCGGGTAAAGACATGATCACCAAGGCACGCTGACGATGGTGGTGGAAACGACGAACGAGTGGACCCAAGGTGAGCTCGCTAAGATCGCTTCTGGTGGTCGCCTTTGAACCCAACCGAGCGAGACGCCTGCGCGTTAGGCAACCAATCCGTCACTGGCGGCCAACGGGTAGCCACGCGCACCTAACCGTCCCGGGCCACAGTGGTGCACAGTGGCACGCAGTTCGGCGATAGGACACTGACAGTGTGTGATAAAAATTACCGAGGCAAGGGACGGGAAAAGCAAGGGCAGTTTGGCTGGTTTCCTGCTAGTCGGGGATATTCGGATAGGTGTAATGTGAAGAGTTATGTGTACCTCACAGTAGTATTTAGAGCAGAAGACTTGCAGTCAAAAAAAAAAACGGTAACCAGAGGGGTTATTGAAAAAAATCGACCTGACACAAAGATATTGCACTTCCCGACTTCCAGTTCCAGAATTCAAATGAAAATGACTTAAATGTCCGCACAAAACAAACCTTGCAGAAATTCTCCATACCTCAATTTTATTTTTCGGAAGATGTAATGAAGCAAAGTGCATCTACATGTCGCATATTTAAGCTAGACTAAAATCCTATGAGTATGGAAACTGTCCAGTTAACAGCTTGAATGACGATTCAGAACACTGTACAAACAAGATTGTGTGTGGAATGAATGCGCCTTTGAAAATGCTGAATGAATGAACAGAAAGTGCAAAGGGTCTGAACACATATTTCTTTTTCATTCTTCAGTAGCTTTTCCACCTCTTTCGCTTGCTAGCACAAGTTCAAAGCAAAGTCGATCCATTTTTAACTTCTCTATAATTTTGTCTTTTTGCTCTCCCTGTGCTTTTAACTCTCGAATAATTTCGTTGTTGCGGTCAACAATTGCCTTATACTTATAGTATGTCGCAGCATCCTAAATAGAGAAGGTGAAAATCAAATTATAAATTGGACAGAAATGATGTGCACCCAGGGAAAGAGCAAATCGCCAGAACCAACACAAGCACAAGTTCAAAAACATACTATTCTGAATACTCCTCCATTTAGTCGTTTATCGGTCTGCATTTTCACTTCTGCAGTGTCGAGTCTGAAACACAAGCAACGCATTTACACGTAAGACAAAAGTTGCAGATGGAAAACGTCACTTAACCTCTCTTTCAGCGAGTTGTTCTCATCACAACACATTTCCTGTTGAAAGAACAGCTCGGTAACGCGTGGTGGAGTTAGAGGCAACTGTGTTCTTCTTTCATCGAAAACAGCCAAAACTTACGTTTTCAAGTGAAGTAAAGAAATGTGTTCGGTTTCGAGCTGATGTTTACGTCGTCGTAACCTCTGTCTCTGTCTCCGTCTTGCAGACACCGCCGTGGGTGGATATGAGAAATAACGCGCAGCATTTAGCATTTCTGAGTTTGTGTTGTGGTGGTAGGCCACAATCTCTCACATTGATTTAAGATTTTTTGCTAAAGAAGTGTACCGATTGCAATGTTTTTTGTGATTTGTATTTGCGAAAGTGCAAAGCAGTTTTTCAAGGACTAAACTTAAATTTAATATATTTTGTTTGAGAGTGGATTTGGCATTAAGAGTGGTGTTAACAGAGGTTATGATGACAGCATGGCACCATGGCACCAGTGGCCAGGGCTGAAGCTGCTAACATTGCCAGGAAGGATGAAGTTTTTGTCAACACATCTCAAGGTGCGCAACACTTTTTTCATGTTTGTTCTCTGGCACTTCAGTCTCTTTCGGTCAGCGTTAGGATGAACTCTTTCTTAGACACTTACTTCATGTCCGTTTCAAAAGTGCTCAGCTGCTACTTAACATTTCATTTGTTAGCTGATAGATGAGGTTTTTTTTTGGTCAAGTATCTCTGCTTAGTTGGAAACGTAGGTTCCTGCAATGGTATTTTTACACTACGCGCAACAGTAACAGAACAAAACTGTAAGAACGTCAAGTACCAAGCTTCACTCTATGATGTGCAAATGGCTTACATGTATGAAACTTTGATGGAACTTGCAGCATGAGCATGCATGACTCTGGTTTCATTGGATTCGCTAACACACAGAAGTTGCCAGTCGCCTGATTCATATCAGTAGATCGTTCAAGAGGGGCTCTCCTATACCTCCCAAATAGCTCCGTCCTTGTTGAACTCATGGGGCAGGTATGAGAGAGACCCACTTGAACGATCTTCTGAATCAGACGGCTGGAACTGTGTGCTTGGCGCTCAGTCAGAAAGCTCCTTCATAAAGTGCTCCACTACCCACCCACTGCCCGCCCCGCCCAGGGGGGTCACCCTCGAGGACAGCTCCAGATGTAGCTGTGGGAGTCCCCAGGGTGGTTCGGCCGGTCGCTATCGCGGGGCCGTGCTGCGCCGGCCGCAACCCCCCTGTGCGGCGCCCGCTCGGCCCCCTCATGCATCTCACGTCCGCCCGCCGCTTACCGAATGCATGTGTGGCCGTCGGCGTGCTAAGCAAGAGCAGGTGCCCCCCGGGGGAGGGCGGGCGCAGGAGTTGAATGGAGGTGGGAGGCGATGGGGGTGAGGGTGGTGACGATGTAGGGAAAGAGAGAGAGAGTTAGAGGAATTCCGGGGGCTAGGCCGGGCTTCCGAAACGCCCCTAGGTGTTCGTTTGTGGAAGGCAGAGCCTAAAGCCTGGACCGTTGTGTGTGTGTGGGGGGGGGGGGGGGAGGAAACGGATGCTCACAACTTGAACACGACCTGCTGTACGAGCCTCCACCCCCGTTACTATTTGGTTGTTGGTTCTCCCGGGTACGCTCCTTCTTTCGTCCCCATACCCCCCACCCTGTGGTCCTCCTCGTATCCTCCCCCCTGCTTGTACTGCTGTGTAGTCTGCAGGCATTAGCATAAGTATAGGTCCACTGCCGCTGTTTGGGCGGGCTGCCCCATCTCCGCGCCTCCAGGGCGGGCTGGGCGAGCGGGGCGGGCGGGGGCCTCGGCCCGGGCGCCGCCGGGGGCTGAAAAGGAAAGGGGTGGCGGTAGGCCGAGTGGCGCCAGCGGCAGCGCCAGCAGCCCCAGCCAAAGCCTGGCGGGGCGGGGCGGGGCGGGCCAGGGGCGGGCGGGCACCTTGCGGCTCGCGGCGGAGCCGGCGGAGTGGTCGGCTGGGGGGGAGGGGAGGCGAGGAGGGCCGAGTCCCACGCGCAGCGCCCCCCAACCCTTCTCCTCGCCATCCCCCGGGCCGCGCCGGACGCACGGTCGGACCAACATTTCCAAAGTGAAAGTCAGATCGAAATTGGCGAAAGGGCAGTGCGCTCTGCTTGTGCGCTCCTCGCCCGCGCCGCGCCAGTGGCCCCGGGGGCGGCGCGGGGTGCCGTTGCCGCCGTGCCGCGGCGCCGAGCGTTGAGGGGCGGTGGCCCGCTCCGACCCCAAGACCCCCGCCGCCCCGGCCCGGACGCTCAAAGGGCCAGCGGCCCTCTCCTCTCGACGGGGCGTCCCCTCAGACAAAGCCTCCTGATCCGCCACTGGCGTGTCTTTTGGCCACGGCGTTGCGGGGCGTGGCGGAGTCGTGCCGAGCCGAGCAGGGGGGCCTGTGGGACGTCATTAACCATGTTTGCATTGTTTGGGGCTGAGGCTAGGCTCTCTGGGGGGCGCACGCGAGAGACAGAGAGAGACAGAGTCAGAGCGACAGAGAGAACGAGAGACAGAGATAGCGTGAGAGATAGAGAGAACGAGCAGCCCCGCGGGGGCCCCCGCCGAGCAAAAGGACCGGAAGGCGGAGACGGATAGATATATACATAAGGGGGGAGGGGTGCGCTGCAGTGGGCAAAGGCGGCGGCGCCGGAGACAGCCGCATAGGAGAGCCCGCAGGGCAGCCCCCCTCCATCCCCCGCTCCCCCGCTTG